GAAGAACCAGTGGCGATCATCGACCAGCAGAAGAAGATTATGAGGAATTAAGTCATCCCGTTGGTAAAAATAATGTGGAGAAACCATGTCGTCGAAGAAGTGACATGGGAAACGGAGGATTTGATGAAGAACCAGTATCCATATCTTTTTAGTTGAAGTTATAATTTTAGGGACGGAATTTCTTTTAAGGGGGTAGATTGTTAAATCTCACCCCCAAATTCTATTGTAAGTTCACATTTTCCCATAAAGTTTTAATGAACTTTGCAAATTGGTCCCCTATCCTAATCCAATCTGGACTCTCCCTTTAGATCCTCTTCCCCTCTCCGTTTGCCACATGTCAAGCACTCACTCTTTCTCTCTTTTTTCCCCCTCCCCGAGTCCCTCAACTCTTTATCTCTCTCATTCTCACAGAACCTTCTCTTCCCTTTCCCCAGCGACACATACATCCACGCGCACCCATAAAAGTACCCCGACGACTACGCAGCAACACCACCACCCTCATGGACCCCCTCTCACTCTTCCTCGTCACTGAGAGGCACGGTGAAGCGAAGAAAGCACTCCGGCGAACCCCTGAGACCCTCAAGTGAAAACTTGGACACTTCCGATCGTTTCACGATGAATCAAAGGTACTAATCTATTCTTCTCATTTCTACCTTTAATTAGGGTGTTAGATCGTGGGTTAAAACGGCTGATTTTCGTTGACCGGAGTATGGGAGGCTCCAGCCTCTTTCCTCGATGAGAAACGAGTCAAATGACCCAAGCTCAATGAACCCAGGCTATTTGGGTCATTTAGGACTCGGCCTTAGGCCTGTTAGTCGTTCAAACCCAACCCAAATCCTTTTATTTTATTCATATTTATTTTAGTTTTTTTAAAAACCCAAAACCTTTTTAGTTTGGGCCAGGCCTTCAAGCCCAACCCATTTGAAAACCCAAACCGTTTAGGACCCAGGCCCTTTGGGCTGTATAGAACTTGGGTCAGGCCTTTAAGCCCAAGCCCAGTGGCGAAGCCCAAGCCCAAACCCAATCCGACCCAACCTAGAGAACCAAGCAACCCTAGGCCACGTGTGAAGCTCACGCGCCGCCGTCCATGGAGGTGCCAGCGAATTTTTCGATGACTTCGGTGACCCACAGCGGCGCGTGACTGTACCCGAGGTCCCTCTTTGTGTTTTTCGACGTCCTGAATCCGTTTATGACGTCTGTTTCTTGAAATTCAATTATTTAAGTATAGTTTTATTAATCGTACCGTTTATGTGCTTAGGTGCGAATATTAGTGACGATTTCGTCATTCCTATTTTGTACGGCACTTAGACGACGGAGTATCTATGAGTTAACCCCTTCTATAATGCATGTTTTAATAGTAGAAATGCATACATGAAAGTATGATTTAATGATTACGTTTTATGAGTAAATTAGATTTACACTTATGATATATCATGCTTTACTGAGAATATTTTGGAATACCATATTTTATCGAACTTATGTTCTTTGTAGTATATATGATGGATGACTATGTACTATTTATGAAAATGCTTTCTTTACACATCTTTATAGTATATATAATGGATGACTATATGCTATGAAGATGATTTTCAGATATATGTACCTATGTTTGGAAAGATTATATTCAATGTTTTGTGTATATCTAGTGGTCACTGTTCTACCTACGGGCGACGATACTTATATTTGCTTCGGTAGGGTGATGTAGGGGCCTTCGGGCCGGGAGATATTATATTGAACTGCGGGTCAAGTGATGTAGGGGCCTCGGGTCTAATGAAGATTGATATATTAAGCCTTCGGGCCAGGTGACGTAAGGGTCTTCGGGTCGATTATGATACCACTAGTTAGCATACTATATACGAGATATGTTTTATGAAAGGTTTTATGGCATGCTAGGGTTTTCAGAAAACCTGTCACATATTATGATATTAGTTTTTATAAAATTTCGGGGTTAGTATGTTGATAACTGTTTTATTATATACATATATATATCAACTTGGTCACTCATGTTTGTTTTGCGCCCCCTCAGGACATAAGAACGAGGAATACGATCTGAGATACGAGGCATTCCTTTACCAGTGATATCAGATCATTCTCTCGGCTTGACATCCATTGTAATAACACCTTCCGTTATATTCTGAATTAGATGTATGCTTTGAACATGTCATGCACTATCACTATCCTCACGCAGAAATGAATAGTCACATCTTATTATTTTGCTACAATTTTTATGCATGTTTTACATGTTCTCAGCATATGCATTCATTAAATGGTTTTCGTCTCCCTTAGGTGTCGGCTAGCATGTGACCATCCTGATGCCCCTCGAACATCTAGATCGAGGCATGTCACTGGAATTCGTCTTCAACCACTGGGGCACCCTGTGGTGGTTCTAGGGCTTTTTGAGATTTGATGAAACTACTTTTCTACAATTTTAATTAATTTACTACTTAATTTCAATTTATATAAATTATTATTATAATTAATTTATTAATTAAATCCAATATAATATAACAAATTTCTAAAACCTTACAAAAGAAGATATTGTTAATTTATGTCCCATTAATTCAATATATTTCAAAAAAAAAAAATCTATATAACAACAACAAAAACAGTTGAACTGTGGGTGCAAAAAAAATTAAAAAAAAAATTAAAAACAATGATTTTTAAACGTACTATTTTACTCCAAATGATATTACATACATGATATATATATATATATATATATATATATATGATTAAGTAACTTGTGATATGTTATATCTTTTTTGTTTGGATAAGTACCAAGTTATTGATATGTTTATATTATCATAATTTTGGTATATAAAAAGTTAACGACAAGTTATGTGTAACCCTAAAATCTACCGGTACATTTCAAGCCAATGTGGTACATTTTAGTTTGGCACATGTACATTTTATTTTAGTAAGCATCGGTTTAATTTAGTATGAATACATTTTAAGTTAGCATATGTACGTTTCAATTTGAGAATAAATTGTGTTACATGTAAATGCTTATGTTAAAGAACAATGGTACATTTCAATTGAATCATACTTGAATTTCAAGAGATGAAAATAAAGAATGAGAAATACCCATTAATGACAATAGTTACAGTAATGAAGAAAAAAGTTACAAATAATTTTTGTATAAAACAAAGTTACAAATAATTTAGTTTTATTGAACTTCTTAAATAATTTACATATATATTGATTATTATATTCCATCAAATTAATCTCAACTCCCAATAGATATAATTAAATTCTTAAATTGGGGGAGACGCGAGATTCCATAAGAATAGCAATAAATTAAACTAGTATTATTGAGTGCATCTTTGACATAAAAATGAATTTAAGTGAATTTGAAAAGCACATTAATTAAGAATATACTTGAAATACAAGGTTTAATAAAATGTGAAAGAGCTAATCTAAAGTTGAAAAGCAACATGTAACATCCCATATTGTTCAGGGAAGTGGATCCTGTAAGCCTTATATGTATATTCCTATCTCTACCTAGCATGAGGTCTTTTGGGAGCTCACTGGCTTCGGGTTCCGTCGGAACTTCGAAGTTAAACGAGTTTGCGCGAGAGCAATCCCAGGATGGGTGACCCATTGGGAAGTTCTTGTGTGAATTCCCAAAAACAAAACCATGAGGGCGTGGTCGGAGCCCAAAACGGACAATATCGTGCTACGGTGGAGTCAAGCCCCGGATGTGGTGGGGGCTCGGGCCAGGATGTGACACAACAACTATTTAATCTAAAAAAAATTTAAATGAGGCATCTAAATCTAATTTTTCGTTTATTTGAAAATTTCTATGATTCACATGTACAGTAACATGTTTTGTTTTTAAAGCTAGTTCACTAGTACACATTGACTATCAAATAAGAGCTCGTTTGGTTGTGCTTTTGAAAGAGCCAAAAGCGCTTCCTAATGAGTAAAAGCACTTCAGTTTAAAAAAATAGCCTTTTGGCAAATATTTTTAAAATGCTTTTTGTTAGAAGTAGAAGTATTCAAAAGCATTTTCTAAGAAGTACCTAGGAGGTGCTTCCTTCTAAAAGTGCTGCACAGAGAAACACGGGAAGCACTTTGCTCCCTTTAATGAATTTCTTTCAATTCCAAAATTATTCCTATTTTTTAATTTGCAACGTCTAAAATGGCACTAAACTTTAAAAAATCATCAAAACTGCCATTTCCAATTTTTTCTAGCGCTTCTGTACAATATAAAAGCACTTGGTTGGTTTCATGCCAAACAACAAATTGTTTCTTCATAAAAGCGCTATTGAAAAGTGCTACAAACAAAAAGCGCTAATGAGTAAAAATACTTTATAGAGTAGCTCATCCAAACGAGGCCTAAGTCCATATTGATAATTCAAGTTACTTCATAGAATAAGCCACCGTTGAAGGTAAGCCATACCTTATTCCAATTATTTGAAGAGGAGAAACGAGTGTGGAATTCTTTGAAATGCTCTAACATTCAAACAACATTAGTTGGATTGTTTGCGTCATTTACTAATTTTCATTTTACAGTTGCTTTCCCTTCTGTTCCGTTGAGGAATCCCTCAAGATAAGTTTATTTAGCCGATATTTTGTAAGGTTTGCTCTGTATTTCGACATTCGAACTCGTCCAACTTTTAAGTCTTCCTATAAAGATCCTTTTTTTTTTTATCAAAAATTATTCAAATTCGAAAACTGCTTGACCATGTAATTAAATAGTAGTTATATTAATGTTTCTTTGAAAAATCGTATTTGTCCGTTTACTTTATTAGAAATGAATATTTTAATGATTATGAATTTGTTTAATGTTTTGCATGAATAATCTATGAACAATACTAAAACATGAACGATTTGGATCGTTAGAAAAAGTTAAAGAAGCATGTCCAACAAGTATCCCTCACTTCAAATAAAATTATTTGAGAGATTAATCAGCTGAAGGATTGTTTCATTTTACTTAATTTACATATTTTGTAATTGCCTTTACCTTGAAAATTTATATTAAAAAACGAAGACGATGATTATTCATAAATCAAATATAGTCTAGAATCAACGTATAATATTCTGACAACCAAGTTCAAATACCGTTCTTGTAGGCCTCGTTTCGTGTCTAGAACTGCATATAAAAATTTAACACATCTCTATTAATTGTTACATTCGGATCAGAAAAACCAACTAAATTACATGAGCAACCAACAAGGAAACTCATGGAATTCTTAGAATGATCAGCAAAAATATTACAGCTATAAAAAGTGCAAACCTCAGTCATCGACCTCCTCTTTAATTTCTCTTTGTAGCTCCTCCTTGTACTCCTCAAAAGTCCCAGGGTACGGGGTCACCGTGCCATTCTCAACTACCCAAATTTCACTCCTCTCTTCGTTCTCGCACACGCGCGATATCAGCCTAGAATCATGACTCACCAGTACAACTCCACCGGTGAATTCGTCAAGTGCATCGGCCAGTGCATCAATACTCTGCATATCCAAATGATTCGTTGGTTCATCCAACAGCAAAATGTGGGGCCTTGACATGGATATCGACGTGAACACAACTCGGGCTTTCTGCCCTCCAGATAATTTTGCAATGGGAGTGAGATGGTTGTGGCTGGGGAGTCCAAATTTTCCAAGCTTTGCACGAACAGCCTCTTGCTTGCTAAGTCCCTCTTGGTCTGGATGAAGCCGGAGAAGGTACTGAACCGGGGTCTCGCCCATTGTCAGGAGGTCCACAAAGTGTTGCGAATACCTACCGATCCTCAACTTCTGACTCCTCCGTACTTCACCCTCCGAAGGAACCAAATCACCTGCAAGAAGGTTGAGCAGAGTAGACTTTCCAGCTCCGTTAGGTCCAACAATGGCAACACGAGTCCCCATATCAATACCAACATCAACACCTGACAACCTGAAATCCTCCCGATTCGGATAACTGAAGCTGACTTCAACAAGTTGCAAAAGTGGAGGAGTAAGCTCTGTAGGTTCAGGAAAGTGGAATTCCACACTGTAATCTCTCCATTTCCTAGGAGCCTCAGCTGGTGCATCATCTTCATCAACTTTTCCCTTGGCCTTGTTCTTTGATGCTTCCTTAGCTGCTGCAGACTTAGCTTTATCCTTGACTTTCTCCTGTTGGACCCGACTTCCACTCCTTTTGGCAGCTTTCATCTGCTTGTCATAAATTTCAAACTTTTTGTTCACCTCTTTCCGGCGTTGTTCATAGCCAGTTTCAAAATCATCAAAATTTCCTCGGTAGATGTGAAGTTTCAGATCATGCAGATGAATAATCTCACTGCAAACCGTGTTAAGGAAATCCCGGTCATGTGAGACAACAACCAAAGTTTTTTTCCAGCGGCACAAGTATTCCTCAAACCAGAGAACAGCCCTCAAGTCGAGATGGTTGGTGGGTTCATCCAGCAACAAAAGAGTTGGCTGAACAAAAAGTGCCCTTGCCAATGAAATTCTCATCCTCCACCCACCACTGAAGGACTTAGTTGGACGGCCTTGCATATCCTGCGTGAAACCCAACCCAGCAAGAATTTTTGAAGCCTGAGCTTCAGCTGAATCTGATCCCATCAACTGCAATTTCTCATACAATTCAGAGAGCTTCTCTCCTGCATCATCATCAAAACTGTCCTTTTCATCAGCGGAAGCTGAATTCTGCAAATCTGCAACCTCTTTTCGGATTTTTACAAGTTCTTCATTAGCTGAAACAACTGCTTCAAGAGCAGTTCTGTCATCACCAACTACCTCCTGCTCAACCAAAAGCACATCAATATTTTTTGGTACTGGAATCTTCCTCCAAGCAAGAAGCTTCAGGAGGGTAGACTTGCCCATTCCGTTGGGCCCAACCAAACCATATCTCTTCCCATGTGTTATCTTCACTGATGCGTTCTTCAGAAGTTCCTTTCCCCGAGCAGACACAGAGAAATTTTCTACTGTTATATCCTTAACATTAGCATCACCATCTTCGCCATCAAGTACCGATGCACGACTTCCAATAACAACAGTGAATGCATCGTGGTCATCTTTAAGGGCCTCCCTCTTAGCCTGCTCAATGGCATGGGCAGCAAGACGGTCCTTCTGGGCACGCTTTTTCAACTCTTTATCAGATATAGACACATCAAGTGGCTTAGATTCTTGCCGCTTTTGCTGATTGGATACATTTACTTCTTGTTGGCCTTCTTCCAACACATCCTCATCTTCTTCATCAGAGGAAGGGAGATCAATACCATCAGTGTATGATTGACGATTTGGAGCTGCTTTTGCCTTTGCACTAGAGGAAGCTCCTTTCTTGGGCTTATCGGGTTTCTGGTCCATGCTGGCCAACATTGCAGAGACTGATATTTTCTCTTTTTTCCCATCTTTAGAAGCATCTTTGCCGGTCGACTTAGCCTTGGCGGATGCACCACTCTCCTCCGTCTTCTTTCTTCCCATTGCAGTTATCTATCAACAAAAAAGGAAAAACCATATCAACTAACTTTAACATTATAAAAAAACCAATTAACAAACATAATCCAACTCATAAACGAAAAACACAAAAGTTCTATAGATGTAGTTTCCACAACATCAAAAGCTGATATTCAACTTTAAGCCAGTGGCGATTTCTTCGTGTTTTCAGGGGAAAGCCGCAACCCGCAATTTCTTGATACACAATTTTCTGTTTCACAAAACAAGTACGCATTGTTCTGACTCAAGAAAATACTCATAGAACTAGCATAGTTTGCAGGGATCATGGAAAAGCAATCAAATTTTCCACTTTCTAAAGATGATGCTCAGAATTCAAGTACCACTTACAAAATTGAGACGCGCCGCAACTGATTAGATCGGTTAGGAAAGAAATTCGTAAAATAATATTAAATAAAAATACTAAATTAAGTTCTAACGCAGAGTAGACCCAAGCTCTTTTCAGGTGCTTAAAAGGGCCGCTTACTTCGATTCAGCAAAGAGACAGCTTAGAAATTTTATCACTCAAATACAAAATTAATTTCACGACAAATATGAAAAATCCGTCCAGAAAGAAAACGAATAAAAATTCAATCGAAATTCAGCTGTAAATTAGACATGAAAATTTACAAAGTTGTCAAATTTCATCGCCCATAGTTTGGATCAAGTGCTCACAAAAGATGAATAAACAAAAAATACCTGAGTTTCGCGAAAGATGGAAGCTTTTTCTTTTCCGTCCGACGAAAGATGAAAGCTTGGAGAAGGCGACCAATAAAAGAAGAAGACGACGATGATTAATCTGAATCCAGCCCTAGCTCCTTTTGCACATAACAATGATCAAGTCGGCCGTACTGGGCCCGGCCAAACTAAGCCCACTTAAACCCCCTAAGTTATTTTTATTTGTTTTTTTTTTAAATTGTGCCATAGGATAAAATTGGATTAGCAATGATTTTTAACTTACATATAAGGATAGATTGGATAATCCACTCTATTTCGAATTCATAATCCATCATGTTCAATCCTTTTTTTTTATCTCACATTTTGACACAACAAACAACGGACTAGATTCAAGTCTATTTAATTGATCAGAACCTATTTCAACCAAACTACCAAACGGGACCCTTAAGTTATATACAATCTACTTGCCACCTAACACGCCCGAATTGAGCAAGCGTTAAACAGAGTATTTGGAAATTTTGTCATTTAATTTGCAAAATTTTATCTACAAATTTAGTCTCCCTAATATTACCCTTCTAACATTAAGAAAAATTACTCCAAAATATGCATACCCTCGCCAGAACTAAAATCTACAAATTTTCAAACAAACCAAATCCCTAAAATAAATTATTAAACAAAAAAAAAAAACCACACCCAAAACAATACATTTACTTTTAATTTATATTGCATTTATCACTTCAAATAACAACAATTTATCATATAAAACCACCGTATGCAAGGGAGAGTCTCTGTCCATGAAGGGGGTTTGGATGATGCAAGGCCAGGCTCTAAGGAAGCCCAATAGGCAGCCAACACCGCAGGCTCAAGCAAATTACATTTTCAATACATCAACGACCTAGAGCTAGAGCTATAGCTAGCTACTACTCTAGTAATCTTCTTTAGTTCCTATATATACCAACTAGTTCCACGAGTGAGTATGACTAGAGGGCAAAAACTACGAGTCCAGTTACAGACAACTTGTAGGCTGAACTGTACCGGCAGTTGTTCCGCCTGCATGGCTGCATGAAGCTTCAGCTGCTTGGTTCTGGTAAGTGAGCTTCACATCTTGCAGTCTGATCCTGTTGCAAGGATACTTGGAACTACAATCGAATTTCACTGCCACTTCCGTCGCCGATGTACCATGAATGTCTTGATATGTCACATCGCTGACCTTAACTCCGGAAACTTGGCCGGGGCAACCTTTGTTGTTAGGGCAATAATGTTGATCAATAATGATTGGATTTTGAACGTTGGTCATCACAATATGTTGGAAAAGAATGTTCCTAGCAAATCCAGTGCTAGGCCTCCCCCAAGACTTGATCCTTACGCCATTTTGAGTACCAATGAATGTAACTGTTTTAACCGTAACATTTTGTACACCAGCTTCTTGTTGGTCCTTTCCTAAACTCCCAATGCTGCACAAAGAAATATTGTTAACTTAATTAGAAGAGTATCAAAAACCAAAATTATGATACATTAACCCAGCTACATATTGTATACATTTTTTTTATGTAGCTAGATAGGTACCTGATTCCATGGCCGGGTCCACAAGCCACGTTTTCAATCCACAAATTTGTGGTGCCGGGGCCAATTGAGACACAATCGTCACCGGTTGAAATTTTGGAGTTGAGAATGGTGACACCAGATGACAATTGGACATGGATACCATCGGTGTTGGGGCTGTTGCCGGCGGCGATAACCTTGACACCTTGCATTTTCACATTGTGGCAGCCGTTGATGACAATGTGGAACATTTGGCTGTTTAGTGATACTAATCCACTCACCACAATGTTGTTGGAGTTGGAAAAACCCAGTGTCTGCACAATAATTAATTTACACAAATAAATCTTATATACAATCTAGTACATAAGTTGGTATTAACTAAAGTATTAAATCTAAATGGAACTTGATCTTATTAATATATAATTTCTCTAGTGCAAGCAATTGGTTATAAAATAAATGGTAATTTGACGTTTGAAATTATCATTTATATAATATCATACAAGCACATGCATTTGTGGGGTTATTTATCATCAATTTTATGATATTGTTCCTTTGTTCTGACAATTAGTGAAGGCATGAGATTGAGTAAGAAATCGTGTGAGGGATGGACGGAAGATTATGCAAATTCACATGTGGATGCATTATATATTGCTAGAAACATGATAGAGAAGAACTTAGTTGAATTACTACAACGGTGGTATCTCGGAACATTGATAAAAATTATGTATAAAACTCTATTCACATAATTTTTTATTAATGTCCAGGAACATCATGGTGACGAAAAATTCATTCTATCAAAATGTCTCTCTTGCGCATGAACATGGCATTATTTATGCAACTTCATGTACAAGAACTCAAGCTAGGTCTTTAGAAGTAAGAACATAATGAGACTAATGCTCTTTAATTAGGATCACTACCTGTGCTTAATCCTATTTCCCAGAAAACCGAACGAACCATATATAGTTAAAAAAGTAATTAATGAAAAAAAACCGTCATTGATACGTAACCGGTGGAAACTGACCAATTAATAGTTTAATAATGCTCCACTAATTGATCACTTCCTTAAGTGGCCACCTAATTAACTTAATTTTTACTTGATGCATGCACGTAATCATATAGATAAATAGTTAATAACTTAAGATCTTGTATATCAATGAAAGGTACGGGAGACTGTTGACGACGTTCCAACTTTTCTGTAAAAAAAATTAACTATCGATGAAATAAGTGATTAAACTTACGGTTGCTCCGCTGGGGCAACTCTGGCCTGAGGACTTGCAACCCCACAAGCCGGTGCCCTTACCGTCGAGAACTCCACCGGAAATGGTGACCCCATTGACATGCTGAAAGAAAAGCCAATTATCGACGTTTCCAATGACCCGGTAATCAGATGGGGCCACGAGGGTGCCGGCAATGCGGAAGGTGATGGCGTTGTTCTTGCATGGCCCAGAGAACACAGCATTGCGAAGCAAGAACCTCCCTGTGGGGACATAGATGACAGCAGGGTTGACGGAGGCACAAGCTTTGGCCCAAGCAGAGAGGAAGGCCTGTGTGGAGTCAGTCCTGCCATCTGCTTTGGCTCCTAAACTGCTCACACTGAATGTGACGGCTGCAGCATCCACACTAGTAATACTTACAGCCATCATCATCAACGCAAGAACTACTGCAGCTGGGTGCGAGAGGCTTTTGGGGTTTGCCATTTGTGCTAGCTGTGTAGACTAAAAGGGTTTCAGGTTTTTCTGGTTTGAAAAATGAGTGAGATGAAGATTGAGGAGGGAGAGAGTTGTGGTGGTGGGGAAGTTGGAGCGGTTTGAGGGGTATTTATAGGGGTAAAATGAAGAAATGGACATAATAAATAATAGACCAGTTAATCAGGTAATAAAAATGAAAAAGCAAGCAAGCAAGCGGCGCCGAAATCACCTTACGTAGGTTTATTTCTTTATTTTTTTGGGATCTACTTTACAAAAATGACCTTACGTATTGCGACTTGGAGTACTGTAATCACGTATATAGTATAACTATGCACCGGTGCACACCAAAACACCCCACCTGGGCCACCTCCATTTCTGAAAAGTTCATCTTTCTTTAAGGTTTACTATATTAGGATGCTGAATCGCTGATGTTATGCTCTTCCATTTCTACCTTTTCCTATAGCATTATTGTATAGTACGTAGCTTGGTTGCTTGAAGCGCAAGTTCAATGCCCCATCTGTTCACACCTCTCTACATTTCATATCTCTGTGATTACTTCACGTTTAATGCCCTCAATACAAACCGTCATTCATTTTATATTTTAATTCTCTCTTGGAAGATCAAATATGCTAAAAATAAGATAAAATTGTCTTCCATTTTCTCAAAAATAGTTGAAAGACACATTATTACTGTTATTTCTTTAACAATTAAGCAAGATAAGCTTGTTCATTTTGTTGTTGGTGGGTAATAATGTGGTCGAAGGAATATGGTTTTACCGTAATTATGGTTCTGCATATTGGTCCACCTAATTGCATAATAAAGACCAGTTACAGATTCCCATAGGATTCCAAAATACATAGGTTACTTAGTCCATGTTTTTTAAATGGTTTTTTCTTTTCCATAATAATATCGAACAGGTTATAGGACAACTGAGCACAGTTTATATATGTGCTTTCATTTTGTGCTCTCCTATAGGAAAGTACTGAAACCAAACTTGTGGTGGGAGTTGGACTACCTCTACCGCACATAAATATATGCAGGATCTCCCAAACTTATCCATCTTCTGCTTTTGGATGATCAGTTTATGCAACAATATTAACGGACAACATACAGAAGAGCGCCAGCACTCCTCATACATGTGAGAATGTCCAACAAATATATATTATTATATATATATATATTATTATATATATTATATATATTATATGTATGTGGGAATGCAATTCAACATTTTGCCAGCCTTGTTAGGCTGGGTAAGTAGGGTTGTAATTTGAAGGAAGCTGGAGGATATGTTCGTAATTATACTTGTGTGATAGGAGGGAGAAAAAGCATTAGCAACATGGGGTAGGGGCAGACGCAGAGGACGTGACAAATGCATGCGAATGGAGTAGAAAACGGAGAAGCAAGCGGCGGCGTGTCATGCCCAAACCCAGGGCTATATCTCCTATAGTATGGAATGCATCTCCAACTAACACAACACAACTCCCTTCCCCTCTGCTGATTCTGTTGGTTGAATCCTTATTTATGTAATATTATTTGAATTCAGAGAACTTGGCAATATGCATGCACGGACGCCACTTTCCACACGCATCCTCCCCCTCCCATTCCATGCATCATGTTTGAGTGTTTCATTGGTTTCTTGGGTTTTACTATTTTAATAGCTTTAATTTGGTGTTTGTCATTGGAGGTGGTTCCTTCCTCATCAGGCTAATCTTTATATCATAATCAATCATTTCACACACTTTCTCAAACCTAAAGGTTGTTATAAACTGCCTAACTGTATAAAGTAGCTGCTATAACTGTTTCTCCTATTTACGCAGTACGTTTTTATCTTCTTTCTGGCAACTCTCTTTTCCTTTATGCAAATTTAAAATGAGATTGTTGTGGAGGAAAATATAATACAGAAAAGTTGACACGTGAATTTTAACCCACAAGAGACAAGAATGCCATAATTAAATTGGCGAGATCCACATTCGTTCCATGCGTAGTTCAACTCTAAAAAAGATTTGAGTTGCTCACTACAACTTCTCTAAGCTCTACCCATGACAAGGAAAAAAGTCACAGGCTTTATGCACACTTTCCTAATTGAAGACCAACTCAATGAAGTAAGGAATCACAATCAAATCTAATCCGGGATTCCACAAGACAATTCCAAGATATTATTTATTCAATAGTCTACATTTTCGGAATAATTCTTTCATACTGCATCCAACAAATAACACACCTTTGCCAAATGGACATCGACACATGGCATGTCAATTCCTACACATGTGGCCAGCCATCTTCCTATAAATACTTATTTCTCCACCAATTTTTGATAAGCTTTTATTAAGCAATAAGTTATAAACTCTCTCTCTTTTCAAACTCTTTTCAGAGAAACTAAATTAGGCATCAAAGATGCATTGGTCACCCCCAACTCCTTGGTCGTGTGACTTTGGTTATCTATCAAAGGTATTTAATTGTTTTGTAGTTACAAATTCGTCAAGATTAAGGATGACGAATTTTTATACTACCACAATTGTTATCTTCAATTAATAAGATGAACTTTTATTGAACCCTTGCTAGTGTTTGATTTTGGTCCCTTGTTAGGTACACTTAATCGCTTACTTGAAAAAAAAAAAGAGAATTAGATTTAACTCCAAAACTATGGTCAATTATAAGAAGTAATCCATTAATTGTTGCTTACAGATTTAAGTCCATTGACTCTCCCTCTCCAACGCATCATATTCTAGTTTTGGATCATGACACTAAATTTTGCAAGCTAAATGACATAGAAACTGATGATTGAATTATTACTTAAGCATTGATAAATATGTTCATTCTTATTAGTAACACATCATTTAGTTTGCAAATTTAGTCTACGTAACATTATTATCCTTATATTAATTATATTTCAATCACCCAATTATCCCTAACATTTGTAGGCATTCAAACCTAGAGATTGCACCATTAGCTCTCATATTCAGTTTGCCATATTTTAGGGCTTGATGTCCGCTGTTCCAATTTTTTTTTATGTTTAACTGTACAATATTATTGGGACGCATATACCTCTTTGGAATTGTTTATGCTTCAAAAACGTTATAATGTAAACAAACCAAGTTACGTGGTTAAATCTACAAACCTACATCACAACTAGATTAAGACCACTAATTTTCATCAAGGACTGATTAACAATATTACCGGCAACTAAGGTTTTTATATCCATTAAACCTACAACGAAGGTTGATTGCCAAAATATTTACCTACAATTAATACATTTTATAATTCTACTTGAAAGTACTAAACCTCTAACATAGCTTGATTAACATGAAAGTTACCCAAGTCAAGTTTATTATATCAATAAACCTACACAAATTACAACAAGATGTCCTAGTATCCACCACCTCTTCTTCGCTGATGATAGCTTTCTTTTTGCCCGTGGTACTCTTAGTGAGTGTCAGGAAATTAAACATGTGTTCCGAACGTATGAGATGGCCTCTGGACAGGCAGTGAACTTCGAGAAGAGTTGTGTCTCGTTTCATCCCAATCTTACGAGCTATGACAAGCAGTTGCTTGCCTACTGTCTCGACATGAGGAGGGTGGAGTTCCATGATAAATATTTGGGTTTGCCAGTGCTAATTAGAAAATCAAAGAAGGAAATATTTGCGTATGTGAAAGATAGGCTTTGGAAGAAATTACAAAGTTGGCGGGGAGGACTTTTGAGTAGTGCGGGACGTGAATTATTGGTGAAAACAGTGGCTCAAGCTTTGCCTATGTATTCCATGCAATGTTTTCTTCTCCCTAAATCTTTCTATGAAGAGCTGAATAGGATGATTGCAAAATTCTGGTGAAGTGGTGATCCAGGCAAACGGAAAATACATTGGCTTAATTGACAATGTTTGTGTAAGCCTAAGAACGAGGGAGGCCTTCGTTTTAGGGATTTGTATGAGTTTAATCTTGCTTTGTTGGCAAAGCAAGCATGGCGATTTATTCATCAACCTGAATATCTTGCTTCTCGAGTTTTCAAAGCTTGGTATTTTTCTACGATAGGTTTTCTGGAGGCTCAAGTTAACGCCACTAGTTCGTATGTGTGGAGAAGCATTGTCACTTTGAGGATGGTTATTGAGAAAGGTTACCATTGGCAATTGGGTAATGGTAAAAGTATTCGTATATGGAAAGATAATTGGGTGCTGAGAGATTCCTACTTTTGGATTTTGACCCCATCTCCGGCACATTGAGATACTGAGGCCACGGTGGATGGGCTCTTCTGGAACGAGTTGAAGCAATTGGATTCTCAGTTATTGATTGATTTATTCTCTACGAAGGAAGTGGAGTTAATTTGAAGCCTTCCCCTTAGCATAAGGAATGTTGATGATCATCGAATTTGGCATTATGAGTGGGATGGCAACTTCATTGTCTGGAGTGCCTACCATGTTGCACGGTGTATCAATGTAATTAATGGTGATGGTGTCACTGCTTCATCTTCTTCAACTAGTAGTATTGGGGAGAAGTTCTGGAAGAAATTATAAAGTGCATGTGTCCTTGTGAAGGTAAAGATATGTGCATGGTGTGCGTGTTTGGACTCTCTACCTACACGTTCGAACCTTAGCAAACGACGAGTGAAGTTTCATGTGTGGTTTGTGGTGGGCAAGTTGAATCAACTAAGCATGTTCTTAGATAATGTAGTTTGGTGAAGGAGGTGTGGTTTCAAAGTTTGGGGTTAAGGGTGGAGATGGGCAACTGGTTGTCTCTATTGCAATAGGTATATCATATATCTATGCAGTTTCCTTCATCGAGATTTGAATTCTGCTTGATGTTGATATGGGCACTCTGGAAGCAAAGGAATGATGTGTTATAGAATGGTAATTTATTGCCACCACATGAGATTGTGCTTAGAGATGAGGGATGGTTGCATGAATTCCAAAAATGGCATAAGACTGCTACAAAGAAGACTAACAGGGTGGTGCAGAAGATGAGTAAACCTGAGGTGGGATGGGTTAAATGCAATTTTGATGGGGCATTGAGTCAAAGTGGTTTACGCCCCGAGAGGGGGGTGGGGGTGGGGTAGTGTTGCGTAATCACTCGGGGGAGTTTCTAGACGCTTCTGCAG